GCAGCAAGAGAAACTTTTCAATGATTTGTCTTTATGTAGAAAATTTAAAATATCCAAGGCTCTCAATCTCTCTTCTTTTGTAAGAACTAGAAGTTTACTTTTAAACTCCCTACATGAAAGGCTTTTCTATCACTACAAAAACGTCTTTCCATTAACATGAAAAAGTCAGTTATGAGGGGAAATAATGAAGATGAAATTAAACAAAGGAATGTTTAGACTGAACTGAAGTTAACTTTTCTAATACTGTAGTCTGGCTAAAGTCTCTGGAAGGAAAAAACAATTCCCTTACATAGTACAGTTCATTATATTAGACAGTTTTAAGTAGATTCAAAAACAGAAACCTAGAACCAAAATCCATTTTGCAGCAGGAAACGAATTATTGAAATCTTCCCTAATCCAGTGCTACATTTAAAGATAATAAAATGTTCAGATTTATTCAGTTTCATCCACAACGGCTATCAAAGTAGACATTTACATTTCTAAAAAAGAAAATGAAAATATACATCATTTTACCTTTAGCAGAAATCTATGTTGTAAAGACAGGGAAGGACATGGAAGCAGAAAGCTTGATTCATTAGAAACAACGGACTTTTTGCAGATCGCCACAAAGATCACAGCATGAAAACTGGTCCAGTTGCATTATTCCTCACTAACAAACTTTCTTCCCCATGTTTAATAGCATTTTCATAAAACCAAAATTTCTGAATAAGTTTAAATGATTACTCACTGAATCAGCATTTATCAAAATTATTTGATTTGGAAGAAGAGAGAAAAAATATGTAACAGTGGACAAAGCAACATTTTATCAAAAGAAAAAAACAGATAGGAGCTGCAAAGAACCTGCTGAAAATCAAATCCACCATTAAATGAAACTTTTCACACTGGAGAAGCAGCATCTTAATTAATTTAATAAAGCTGGCAATGAAGTATTGTCTATATTAACAGCATCATTTTAACACAGTTATGAATTCCTGCGACAGGAGTTCACAGCTCTGATTCTCAAGAGGTTTTTTTTTTGGTTTTCAACACAAATATAAAAAATGACACCAGCAATAAAAAAAATATAACACTAAAAGGGATAATAGGTAAAGACTGAAAACTCATGGGAAAGATGTAATCTTCTGTAATAAGACATACAACAAGCAATTCAAATAGTAAGGCTTTTTTTTTTTTTTTTTTTATAATTACTGATATATGATGCCAGGAGATCCATTATTAATGCTGGCAGTATAAAAAAATAAATGAGAAACACACAGAAGTTGGAAGAAAAGAATCAGTGCTGACATTAATATAAGTTTTGATTTTTTTTTAAATCAAGAAATAATGATAGTAGCGAGCATCTATACAAGACTTTAACTTTGGTTCTACTTCATAAAGAAAAAAGAGTTTTCTGTCAATAACACCACCTTTAAACGTAAAGATGTTTTATGACTTTTAGTCCTTTAGTAGACACAAACACTGATAAAGAGCATGGAACAATACTTGGCAAAGTCATTTTTAATGATCAACTAATTCATCAATAGATTTAAATCACTCTTTTCCTTTAGTAGACAAGAGCACTAAGGTTTGTTGGGCACTGCAGTAATAACAGAGCCAGAGTATGGTCACATAATCAGTGAAAAGACAACAGAAATGAATTCATGTTTCATAATAACTTTTTTACTTGGGAAATGCTAATTATAGAAAAAATCATAAATGGCATTATTTACAGAGAATGAATACCAGCATCAAACAAACCCAATTTACCAATGACACTGCCAACAAATGGTGATTCACCAACTGAGCAAGTGAATTAACAATCATTTTCCTTACAAAATAACAGTAGACAAAAATATAACTTGGCAGTATTTCCCTCTTGTTAATGTGGACATTAATTAGAATAGTTATATAAAAAAGATTTGAATTAAATATGTCAAGGTCTCAGAACTGTTTGAATTCCTCTTTGCTTAATTAATCCAAATATTTAAATTAGCTTCTCCATGTAATTTGGTGTTTCAACCAGAATCCCACTGAATCCCACAGATAGGCATATAAAATTATTATTTGCAGACTGCTTATGTAGCTCCCTTTTGAAACCTGCTGCTAATATGAAGATGTAATCCCTTTGTACAAAACATCTTTAAGAAACATAGTCTCTGTTAATTAGTCAAGCATTTATCCTATTCTCTAACTGGCCACCAGATCTCACATGTAGACAACTTATTAGGTTTGTGACTCTTCTTTTCATAGCTAAGTCTAGAATATTCAGATGAACTACGTTTCAGCTAAAATATCTTCTCTCCTTTTCCCAGAAATTAAGGGAAAAAGATGTATTGGAAAGTGCAGTGATTAGCAATTGTCCAAAATTTTTTTACTCGAGTTCTCCTTCACAGGACAAACTACAGGTTTTCATTGTTTTCCCCAGAATCCTAAAACTTAACCTTTGTAGGCTTTTGTAACAGGTATTAATTTTCCCTAGGAAGATATTTTCCCTCTGTTTACTGAGATGGAGTGTCCACAATTTTAGCACAACAGTGAGCACTGCCCTTAGGGCAAATAGTGAGATTTTAGTCTCCTTTTCCTCAAAACAACAGTGTTGTAACACTGTTTAGCAGTAGAAAAAAGTACTGCAAGATAGTCTATTTTGTTGTAGTTTAAAAATGGAATTCTGAGTTTTACCATTGAATCCAGTATCTTCCATGTATCTACAAATTACGGAAAATTTCTATCTAACTAAACAAGAAAGGCTATTTTCTCTTTTAATTTTAAAATGGATTGGTATTATTAACTCTAAATTCTTGTTTCACTTTTTTTTCTGTTCTAACATAATTTCAGAGAATTACTATTACGAATTAAAATTATCCTTGTCTCCCATTGGAATTTTTAAGTCCTTCTTTGCAACCTGCACCTGGTAACAAGAATCTCATGTGAACAGACTCACAATTTCTTCAAGGTGAAATGAGCTCCAAACGGTCCCATCTTACCTAATTTGCTCTATCATAATTTTGAGGTAATCTGTAATTCCATTGTCTTCTTGGCAAGTGCTGGAAGCAATATCAATATTCTTTATAAGCGGATCAGTCTTCCAGAAAAAGTCTGTGGCAAATTGTGAGCACCCGTGGGAACAAATGGAGATCTGTGCTGGGCTGTTCCATCACTGTCAATATACTTGACATGATTTCAGAAATCCAGCCAGCATTGGGAAGCAATAATTCCTACAAATCTTTTTAATGTCACAAACTGTACGACAGATGCATTAATTACAAATAATAATATCCTACCGAAAGTAAAACCAGACACGTTGCCTCGCGTGCATTCGATCCTTTACTTTTTAAATGGGGCTTCAGGGCAAAATGCAGAGTGGATACACCCTCAGTATTAAAGAATCAGAAGTGACATGGAAGGTGTTCACTGGAACTAAAAAGTATTAACTTCTAGTCATGTTTTATTGACTGTCATCTAATTAAGAAGTGCAAGGTAAGACTGCTAAGGGAGGCTGTGTCCATAATGCTGAACAGGATACAATATATATTACAAGAATTACTGAATATTAAGAGCACACCCAAATGCACCACAGAAATACAGTGGAAGTAAAAAAGAGACTTCCTTTGCTTTCTCTCCAAAACAGAGGGCATGAATGCAATGCTCATACTAATATGGCATTTATTAGAATGAAAGAGTTGAATCTTAATAAAGTGATAAATAGATAACAAAGAGTCTGCTGCACAGTTTAGTTTTCAGATTACTGCCATGGACTGTGTTGCGAAGTCAAAGAAATAAAATGAGAAAAAACCAAATAGCTCAAGGACTTAATGTAATAAAATTACTCCCTTAAATAGTGAACACTTGTTTTAATGGAGATAGGGCTGCAAACATCAATAGGTTAGCAAAAGGATAGCAACCTCTGAGGACAGTATTTTTTGCGAATACATTAGCTAAAACTGATAATAAAATTTGAATTGATATATCCATAACACCTGCAGACTCACATATATAACATTATAAATAATTTTACACAAACAGAAGATTTTTTTTTTCCCCTGAAATGATGTTGCATCGCATTTTTCTCAATACTTACACAGAATAAACCAGATTCTTTCCATGAGGAAATTAACACCTAATCACTGGACAGGAGAAGTAGTTAAAACATTGCTAAGAAGCAATTTAGTGATATAACTTTACTAAGTTAGTTGCCGAGCCAGACCAGTCTTACACTGAGTTCAATTCAAGATGCTACTCTGAGGAGTGTTTGGTACCAAATGCTTCACAGGTAAATAAAAGAAACACCAGAATAATCTAATGAGTATTAGCTTGGCAAACACAGAAAAAACATCTAAACCCTACAATTTATGAAAGTCAAATTGAGTTCCATTTTATGCATCCACTTTAATCTGGTTTTGTCATTTAGTCTGTGTCTTATACTGTTTTTACTTCATGGAAAATATTAATAAATTCAGCAACCTCAGAAACAGCAATAAGGTCATTAGTTTAAAGTCTTAGACCAGTGTAACTGTGGAATATTCTGACTCCAGATTAACCACAAAGGCATCACTGAGCACTGAAGCTGACATACTTACTTTAGACAGTATTTATTATAGTAAGAGTCATACTCTCCCTGTGTGTCATGTTACATCTGCTAAATATACAGGTTTAAATGCAAATTGAGAAACAGCCTGCAAAGATCTGATTAGGAAGAGAAAAAAGTGCTCTGTGCTAAAGAATAACAAATATGTTACTTTAAAGCTGTCAAAAATTAAAAAAGCTGTAGGGCATGCAAGTATGGTGAGACTTGATATAACAAGCAGGTGAAATAAGTTATCTTTTCCAACCTCTTAATACATTATTTAAAAAAAAAAAATTAACCTGCTGACTTAGTAAAAACTGTTAAGGTGTATTTGTGAGGTTAAAATTCCTAAACAAAACATCCTCCACTTATAGTCATGTAAAAGAAACTGGTATCAAGGGGTTTAACCATGTAACCTCATAAACAACATGTGAAACCAAATATTTTATTTCTATACCTCTGCTGCCAGCTGCTGAAGAGAAGGGGATGCAACAGGGTGTAAAGTTGAGTTGCCTCTGACTGGATCATGAAGGCTAACATAAGCCACAACATTTCTTTGAAGAACTCTCTTGAGGTCCTACAACACAAGCAGAGCAATGGTTACTACTATGCATCATTAGAATTAAGGCTTCTTTTGTTCTTTCACTTCCTTCCAGGGAAAAACTGCACCCAATGTTTCTGTCCTCTGTGATTTCCTAAGTAATACTTAACTACTACTTCTTATAATATGCTGTTATGGACTTCAAAGGATATCCTGGTGCTATTTCTCTATATAACACAGGTTATAATTCCATTTCACACATCATCTCAACAAAATGCAAACAGGTCTGGGAGGAATTAAAAATGCCTACACTTGTAAGGTCAAAAATGAAAACGTTACACACTGTGAAACAATGTGATGGCCTTTTAAAGTTATGCCTGACAGAAGACAAACTTCAAAAGCAATCATTATCAACAGTTAAATGGACTCAAATTTTTAAGAGACAACATTCATATTTGAATTGCATAACTTTCTCAGTGTTTTCATTTTCTTATTTGTTAGACTATAAAAATACCATGTACAAACTGTTTCAATTATTATCTCTTTTTTAAAAAGATCCCCTTTGCCTTCTCAGTAATGAGTTCCTCTTTGCATGAAGTGGCTCTTTATATTGAACAGAAGGGGTGTAACACAATTACATCTGATGTAAAGCTGACTTGAAGTGGAACTAAACAAATTTTGCTTCCAGCCTGGATCTTTTCAATTTGATTTTTTCACCCCCTCTTGTTTTTGAAGAATAATGATGTCGGAAGTATGAAATTTCAATGAGGGCTGGCTGCTTCTTACGCACGATAAAAAGTAATTAACTCTTTATTTTATCTACTGTTTTAATTCATATTCATCGTTAATGTTGGAAAATCAGCTATGAAACTCTCTGCCAGCTATTCCTCTAATATATGAACTGAAGTCCACTGTAACTATATATGATCATCCATACCCTGTTGAGGTATTTTCTGTCAATAATCTGGTTTCTATTCTGTTGAAACTAAGAGCCCAAGGAATTGCCTGTGTTGGATTTTACCTAACTCCTTAGCACAAATATCAGAGAAATGAATCAGCACTAGCCGTGGAGGCACTGCAATGTTTATGTCGTTAATGTAAACCATAGCATGGTTCTCTCCTTTTCATTTAGTGTGCTCTTGATTCACTTCTCCCCACACTAAGCCTTACAATTAAAAATGAGAATGTTGAACTCCCAAGAAGGACAAAAAGCTCTCTAAGCTATTCCTTGGCCTATGTAATTTGTTGAGGTTTTTCTCCCTCTATCAGACCCTGGCAATGACCTTTTACAATGCTCTGCTGAATTAGGGAGGGAAATCAGCTCTCAAAGGTGCTGTATGTGCAACCCTCACAGCTATGGAAACATCCTGCCATCTCATTATCCACAGGGACAGCCTCAAAAGGTGTTTTCACTGCATTTGCTATGTGGTACATGAATGAACACAGACAGACCTCACAGACCAGCTAATGAACCACAATTTCCACGTGGTAATTGCATATTGTTTTCACGCTTTCAACAAAAGTAATCATTATTGCAATGACACCGTCTAAAATTACTTTACCTCAGCCCACTCATATGAACCAATGTTCCCAAAGGCTGTTCCTCCCCATGAGCAGAAAACAATGGTCCTGTCAGGTCTCCAGCCCCTCTTAGCCTTCAGTGTCAAGGCTTGGATCAATGCTGTGATGACAGCAGTGCTACTGGCCCATCCTTGTCCATAAGGGTTCAAGCTGCTGTGATGGCTCCCAATGATGATGTATCTGTCTGAAATGTGAAAAAAAGAAAGACAGACTTTTACTTCTTCTGGATCCTAGCGTTAAAAGAATTCTAAATAACCCTAAAAAATGAACTCTGTTAGTGATATGTAATGTCATTAGTACAACACAAAGCTGTCAACAAAAATTCATATGATTACATGCAAGACAATCATACAACATATATACATAAAAGCGTGAGTACTACTTAAAAATGAGCTAGTAAATAAATATATGTATATCCTTTCCTAATTAAACCTCCGTGCACTTGCCTTCATTGTTTGCTTACTTCTCTCCTTATAAATCTGATATATACCATTTTTACAGCAGGGCTTTGTCATATAGACAATCTAATATTTCCAAGCTCACATTAGAGTGTTATGAAGATATAAAAATAAGTAGGAAACTGTCTTCAATACACATTAGCATCCAAAAAAGAAAACAAAAGGTGTGGTACTACAATAGGTAACATAAATAAAATACACAAAGTATTAGTACTCCCTCACCTGGAAGACTGTGTTCAGTGCTCACCACCCTATCTCAAAAAAGACATGGTAGAAACAGCAGTTGAGCAGCGGGTAACCAGAACGGTTATAGATCAGGACTTAGACTTCCATGTAAGGAGACATTAAAATACCTGGACTGCAGGTTTAGAGAAGAGACATGACAGAGGAATAGAGATAATGAATGATACAGAAACGGTAAGTCAGACCCAGTAGTTTTGTTAATGCTGGGAGAAAGAACTTTACAGGACGAAAAGCAAGAACTTTCAGCCTGAAATAAAGAACACACCTATGGTTACCCCCCCCCCAAAAAAAAAAAAAAAGCAAACAACACTTTTCTTACAGAGAAATAACACTAAATCTTCATCTCTCAAGGTATTCATATAATCCATATACCACTCACAAGAGGAAAAAACCCCCTTATTTTATTCCAAAAACGATGATGTGGTATGAAATAGCATGAATGACTAGTGTGACTGAGGCCTGTCAGAGATGTCAAAGTTGAGTTATGCTGAATGACTTACTAAACTACTAGACCTTCTGTGTGAGATGAATTCACAACCAAAGCCACTTTGAATGACTGCTCACTGATTTTGTTGTGATATTAAGTAGTTTCTTTCTGGTCAAGATCTAGTCTTTTAAAGGTTTCTTTCAATATTTCAGGATACCAGTAGAGAACAGAACAGCTATCAAGTGATGCCAGATCCACAACAACCTCTGGGTGTTGTTTGGGTTCCAAAAAGTGCAAAAGTTTTGGTTTATTTTCTTTATCCATGGGGATTCACTTTACACTTGCTGTCAGTACACCAGAATGTGGCAACACATAGGTGGTAAAATGCCAACATTTTATATTTGCTTATAAAATTATATATCTACTCCTCAGTATTTTTTACAGTGACTGTTGCCTAGAAACGATTTTAATAGAACATCAACAGACTTTGATTATAAACCTATTCTCTATTAAACTGGACTTTTATCAGCTCAACAAAACACAAAGGCATGTTGTTTTATATGGAATCAAAAATGCTTTACAAACAGGGGATTTGTTATGTACCTATAATACAATATTTTTAATCAATTGCTTGGGGAGTGTGTAGGTATGTAAATGAAAATTTCTTTCTAAAAATAGACATGCAAAGTGTAAACCTAAGTGTACATAATAATGTAACAAAATGCAATCTAAATCACATAATTTTGCAACTTGTGTATTGCACCATGAAATGCTTAATTGTAGGTTGCACTAACAATGAAAAACCATAAGGTCTTCAACTCACTTAATGAAAGGAATTTGGAACAGAAATTAATGGCCTTAAAGGCTTCTATGTCATTAAAAGAAATGCCATAGAGGGATCAGACAGGGTCAACACTTACCCCATATTATGTGAAGGGGAAAGGGAAGAGACATTATTAAAATAATGTGGGACATTTTGATGGAGCAGAAGCTGCAAGCAGCAGCTTACTGTAGGAGAAGCAAGCTGAACAAGCAGGGGCAAAACATAACAGCTGGTGTCTCCTTTAGAATTCTTTATCTCTGCACATCTCTCTCTCTTGAATAGAGGTAATACCCTGAAGCAAACAAATACAGGAAAAGCATAGGAGAAAGGATGGTCATGCTTGCAGAGGCAGCAGCTGTCCTTTCTCAGAATCACATGGTAAGAAAAAAAGAGAAAAGACTAGAGATAGAGAAAAAAATACCCATCAGATACTTTTGGAGGTGATAAGGACAGCGTTCAAGCTAGTGACAGGTTGGACAAGTCTCTTTATACTATCTTCTCTTGTTATATATCCCCCTTTCAGCCATGTTCAATAGAGCTATAAAATCAGTGTTTCATTTTTCAAGTTTTAAACTGCTATCAAGCAGCACATTTGATCTTCTCCTAAATCTTTTAATATCTTGGTTAGAATTGAGATGCTCATTCTTACTCCTCAGATCAAACATCAGCTAAGATCACCATTACCTAGATGTGTCTGTCTGTGCATTAGATGTTTAACTTGTGCCTACATTAGCAGCCAGTTGCTATGGCTCTTGTTCAGCCAGACATCTACAGGACAAGCTGTTGCCATCTGGAAAGTGCTTTTGACTTCACTTGATTATATATATCCTTTAATTCTTTAAGTTCAGCACATATTGACAAACCCTTTAAAAGTAGCTTCTTAATAAGAATGCAATAATAAGATGAAAGATTCAGGTAAAGAGGAGATACAGAATTTATTAAACATAAACTGATGCATGGTTCTTATTAGCTGGCTTGCTTCTGTTTCACAATTCAGTAGAAAGAATGTCTAAACATGGCAGTTTCTGCCCTTCAAATTCCATGACAGCTATTTGCAAAACATTAGCAACAGTAGACTGGTAGCTTCAAATTAATGAAGGAAATTAAATCCTTTACTGAAATTAAATTCACCGTGCTAATTGTTTTCTATGTTGTTTCAAAAAAAATATTTTGGTGAGAAGTATTCACTGGTGAATTTACAGTATTCACAGTATTCTGGTGAGAAACATTTAGCTCACACAAAACTCCTTATTTCACTAACAGGAATAACAATTTTCTCCTCTCCCTTCTCTATGACTTAAAATATGAAATGACTGGCCCACCTCCTAAGGGACTGTAAATAAATTTGCATCCTTTCCTCTGAACCTGATAAAAAAGTATTAAGGCAAGTGTGATGATGTTTTGATGATCATCATCTGTACCCTAGGAATTGGACTAACTCCACAATGCTTTGCACTATGTAAGTAACCAGCAGTTAAGTAACAGTGTTCATTCACGTTGCAGAAACCCTTCACTTCTTAGGCAAATTCACTTACAGACAGAATAATCTCATTCTTATGATATCTTCATAAGATCTTCATTCTTACAATATCCTGATTATCACATTATCCACGTACAGCATCAAAGGAGGGAGGGGGGTTGTGCTTTATGTCTCAGTTGCATTTAGAATCTTATTTTTTAATTATTAGACATAGAGAACAGTAATCATTATTCATAGAATTGTATGAAACTAGCTTAAGGCATGACTGTAATACAATGTAAGGCTGCAGCAAGTGTTAAAATCATATTAAAATTAAAACCATAACATAGTTACTTGCTATAAACTACTAATACTCTCTATAGTCTATGTGTAATGCCTGATGCTCATGTAAACGTGTTTATTGTAACTACAACCCCCTTCAGCTTTTTCTCTCTTTAACACTTATGTTCTGTTGTCATAAATCAAATCACAAAATGACTACAATTAAGGATCTCTCCTTCCACTGCATTATGAGGCAAAACAGAATCCTGATCACACCTGTGACTCCCAGCCATCATGAAATAAATAACTGATACAAATGATAAAGGGATACTTACCAGGAAATACAGCTCCTTTTAAATATCCAATAACATTAGAAATAGTCTTGTAAGTTGTGACTGACTGAATATTCAGACTGATTATTTTTTTTCCTGTTAAAAGATTAAAAAAAAAAGAGTTAAACTTGTTTATCTAGCCAAGAAATCTACAGAACACAGAATAAATTCCACATATATTAAAAAAGGTAAAAAAAAAATAAAAAAATTTCAAAATAAAATTATACTGAAAAGGAACCAGAGATTAATAAATGTAGTATTACACTATTTTACTTTTTTAGACCTATTTTAGCTGTGTGGTTCAAAGCTGGAATCTCAAAAGAGATCTCTACTCCTTGAGTTTAAAGATCATTGAATTTGTTCAATAAATGTTGCCAAAATACAACAGGGGAAAAAAACCCCAACAAACCTTAAACCAGTAGGATTTACATACTTCTGTAAATATGAAATTTGTGTTACTCTTTATAGGTTTTTCTCAGCTGATCCTTCACCCAGGTCAATCCATCAATAACATTCACAAAATTTTACCTGGTTTCTATTACATTTTCTTCTGGAGAAACACCCCTATGTTAAATCAGATGGGAACAGTTAGACCTCTCCATTACTACCCACACTGCCAGCCCAGGCTTTTGATGATACACTTCTGAACTTATGCCAACAGAAGTCAGTTTTTTTGGCTTAGATGGTATCAACTGAGGAAATAATGTAAATACATAGGAAGCAAAATTTTAAATCAGCTAAAACATAAGGGACTTGCCAGTATTGCTCAGCCAGTTGAGACTGTGGCACAGAATAAAGACAGGGAAAAGTAAATGTCTGAGTTAAAATAGCTTTAAAAAATTAACTGTCCTCTGCCCTGCAGTGGGACAGAGTAACCACACAAACTCCTGCAGTTTGTGACAATGGAAACCAAACAACTAAGTCAGGGGAACTGCTGGTACCTTCCAAATGTTTCATTTGCATTATAATAGACTTTGTTAACATTCATCTCATCTGAAAGGTCATAACTTCTATCTGAGAAAAATGAAAATGTCTTAAGCTGCTCTAACTTCAAAGGCAGCAATTGTGTGACAATAACCACTGTGTCACCCCAGACACTCAGGGAGGGTCTCTTCCATCCAGGTATCCACACCCCCCCTGTGTTTAAAGGCATCTCTGAGACAGAATTCCTTCCATGTCCATACCCCAACTGTCACACACCTAAATTAAAATATTCCACTGATCATTTTGCTCTCTATCTCCCAGGCTATTATTCTCCCACAGATCTATTCCTGACAATTTGTTTCCAGGCTTTGTTTCCCGAGATATGGGAAGCATACAAGTGGGGAGTTTACTGCAACATGTAAAATAAAACCAGTACATCATTATGATACTGTTCTTCAAGGTTCATTTGCTGATACTTGATGTTTACTTGAAAATTCTCTTAAAATAAAATCTAATATATTTTAATTCACAAGTATTCATTTACTATTGAAAAAAGCAAACCAACTGTTAGGATCTTTGTTGTAAAAAATGTACCAGAAATATTATTCTGTTTTTCACTCAGGCAAGACCTCCTCTGCTATCAATAGACGTGTTCTGCTTTTGCTTGAACACAATAGGAAAGAAAATGCAAGTCAAGTAAGTTAATCAAAAATAAACCACAGAACATGATTTTTCAATAATCAATCACAGCAAGTTAATTTTGATTTGTCATGCAATTAACTTCACCCTTCTGACGTAAATTACTGTAAGGTTTATTAACACCATGTGATGATGAATCATGTTTGTTCTATAAATCCACAGATAATATTTTAGAATTTTTAAAAAGTATTTGATTTAAAACAAAAAAATCATCCAAAGGGTTCCCAAAGGGTCTTTCAGAAAAATGTGAGAAGAGCTCAAATCATCCATGTTGATTAAGCAGCTGAAATTTAATCCAAACTATGCAACTTACTTCTTGCTGCTGATTCTCACCTACAACCACTCTAGAGCCAATTCAGTCTTCTTGAAAAATAGTTTTAAATTCAAAACTGATTTCCTTTCCTTTTCTTACAACACTTCAGACACTCATTTCTTTGGGCTCCACTTCAGAAAAAAAGATTAATCCTTTTGAAGACAACCAACTTCATTGTTTTTCCTTAACTGACATCAGTTATCCAGTCTTCAGCCAACAATGAAGAAACAGAAAATTAACTTCTGGCAATACACCATATTCTAGAATCAGATATTTGAGTTAATAGTCATGTAACACACTAGTCAGTTTAAAGTGACTTGGGCTTAAAGGCTTAGTACATCAGATGAAAAGGCTGAAAGTACTTTTCAGAGTACACAGCAGAAGCGAAATTTAATCCCTTTAAAGAGTTCTGACAACAAACCTCTCTTCCTTATGCTATAACTTAAAGATCTTGCCATCTTTCTCTTGCTTTTTTTCTGTATTCTCTGGAAAACTATGAGGAAACTTTAACTTAACATGATTCAGGATACACTTTGATTTTATGTAAGCCAAAAGCTACTTCTGAAATAGAAGAAGAGAAACGTATTTATTGTTATTTTTAATTTCTTTCTTTTGTGATTTGGAACTGTAAATTGTCTCATACCAAATGACTACCTTCTCCTCTCCTATTTACATAGTTATTTTTAGAAATGCATGGCTATTTCCCATTCATTTGACTGACAATTTTAGTACTCCAGATGAGTAAAAAAATTCTACTTGCACTATTTATGTTAAAACACACTATGAGTTATGTTTTGTTTCTTTTTTTGTTTGTTTTTAACCTCATCCCAAGCTCATACAAACAGAGAGGAGTATAAGTTTGAGCCTCACTTTCAAACATATTGGTTAAATTCTTGAATCCTGATCATGCTAAATGCCTATAATCAGACAGTTTTCTGAGCATTTCTTGGAGTACTGAATTTTAAAAAGTATCTTTGGGGACTTGGGTTCAAAAATTGAACTAATTCGACGAGATTTTTGCTATTCATTTACAAAAATTTCCTGACATCACATTTAGCTCCAGTACAGAAGCACTGAGAACTAAACTAATTCAAGCATTTCGATAGCTCCTGGATCATAAAACCAGAAGTTATTTCAGAAGACTGCAAAAATAAGGTACACTGAATGTAATGCAGTTTTCAACATACTTCTGTTGAAACCAACATAAACCACACCTGAATAAACAGATATCAGTCTGAAATCACAATTAAACTAAAGATTTCAAACTTCATCAAACATCCATGGCCATGTAACTAACTTAGGGGGCACCAAATAAGCTGAAATAGTCATAATAATACTAAATTTGACAGATTTCTTGTTCCAGTCATTCAAAAACCTTACACCAGGCTTTAATAACTCAACTTCTAACTTTTTGACCACACATTACCAAGCTTTTCAGACACCCCTGAAGGCCAAGGATTCCTTTAATAATGAAAGCCACCGTTTTTATTAAGTTATTTGCCCCAAGAGCAGAGGTTTGTAAAGTAATATCAAATACCACAGAACATGATGGTAGAATAAGAACTAACTGCACTCAGTGTAGAAACACAGTAAGCTATTTATATGTAACCAATAATCAAATATATCATAGATTTCCTATATTCTATTGGTGATACTGTAAAAAATAATATGGCCTGGTATGCAGTTTTTGGAATACCCTGTTAATCACACAGGTATGACAAGTAAACATTAAAACATATATAACACCAGATTTTACTGTAGTTTGAAACAAATGCTTCATTTTCACCAGACATTTTCTAGAATAATTGAGTAAAAATTCCAAACTACTACTACCATCTTAGACTGCCTAGTTAACGGGCTTTTAAAATCTCACTGAACTGTGAAAAACATATTTCAGTTAGTTCTCAGTGTTTCATCATGTCAATTTGAGTGCAAAACCTTATCTACTACATATTTTATGTCAGTTTTCAATTAAGTTCAAACACAAAACTCTAAATGAAGAACTGTAATCATCATAAGCATTTATGTAACATCAGAACTTACATATAAAAACACTACATGCAACATAATGACATACTTAGAAAAGTGAATAAACATAAAATAGTATATACCCAATAATTTAAATAATCTCTGAAAAAATATTGTGAGACACTATCAAATTGCATGTGCAAAAATCAATACTGAATTTACGCAAGGTACAGCACTGTTGAATTATAAAATTATTTGCACAGGATCAAACTTCCAGGACAGATGTCCTGTAACAAAGAGCCTTTAGCGATTTGGGTTTTTTTCTTTGGTTTTTTTTTTTGTTTGTTTGTGGGTTTTTTTGTATAAGCAGTGCACCATCTAGATACAGTCTCTTTGAAATCTGGTATCCCTAATATTTTTCTCTAATAGATTTCTATTTGATTAACCAACTATGTTGCCTACTAACAATATATCCCCTTTTTTAAACGGATATTCATGGATCCTGAGTTTCCAAGCCAAATCTTTGTCTGAAGAGCTTAATGAATAAATTTCTTGCTATTTAATTATCTTTTCTGACCTACAATGAGGAATCCAGAAATAAAACTATTCAGATTAAGAGCTTCTGAAAATAAGCAATGTCTAGAATAAAGTCCTTTAAGAAGGCTTTAAACTGGGATGGCTTAAATGGGATACAAAATCAATGTGTCAAAGTTAGTATCAAAGAGAGCTGAAAATGCTTCATATGGTACAGTTGAATTTCATAACCTCACACTATTTTGACAGTTTCTTTACCTGCTTTACAGCAATCAAAACCAAAACATCACATAGAAAAACAATGGCAGAGAACACAATTATGAAAATATACCTCGACTGTTTACAGTTCTAGTAGAAAAACTCTTGAGGCTTCAGGTGGGAGTAGAGAGAAGATACATAAAAAATGCTTCTCATGCTGTTCATGCTTAATTCATTCCATGAACTTAAAGAACAAAATTTAAAGCAATCGTGAAAAGAAAATCTGAGAGTATTGGTGTAAATGTCTGTAAATTTTCATATCCAGTATATCTGAATTAGATCAGACTTCCCTATTTAACATGTACTTCTTTGAAATGGCAGTAAGAGATACCTGCAGAACACTGTTATATTCCTATTGTTATGTACAGTGACTTCATATCTTATAGATACAGTAACATGCACTGCCACACATTATGCTGGCATCTTTCTCTATTTGTTTTCTTGGATTCATGCTTAGCATAACCCAAGTACCTAGAAATTATGGCATTGTTTGTGCACTGGTATCACAGTGTATGATGGCATGGCCAGAGTTTATTAAATATGGTGCCCTTTCTTTTCTCTGACAGGTAGCAAACTATGAAGGAGAAACACATATAACAAGAGTACAAGGCTGTAGCCTAATAGGAGGAGATATATATCCTTTTCATGTCCTTCCTCTGACTGAATAGAAGACAGGCTTGATTTGCACTAGTGCACCACTTGGCAGAGAACTTTGTCTTGGATGATGTTCGTGTAATATGGAAACTACAGGACTCTTCCAATTAATTATTGCTTTTGTGTAATTAATGATTCAAACTTCACATGATCAGAGTTGACTAAAAACTCAGTATAGTAAACATCTGACATGTGGAACTGTATAAAATAGATGTTTAAAGTATTCTAAAAATTATTCTTTATGTTATGCTACAAACCTTTTCAGTAACAGTCACTTCTGGTTATCTGATCCACTCTCCTTTTTTTGGCAGAGGAGGTGGATTTGATTGCAGTCTAAAATGTAGTCTTGCATTGCAGTCACTATGATGATTCAGTATTGAGCAATGACTGTATTGTTTAGGCTAAAAAAAGTTACAAAAGATTAAAAGGTTCTACCTAAAAAGCATTTAGATCTGAGTAATTTTACTCATTGTAGTAGAATCCTATGAGTCTTTGTATAGGTGGCTCTCTTATTCACAGTGTGTTTGATATCATTCAAGTTACTCAAACTATTTATGCTTTGGTTTTACTATTTTATAAGTTAAAATATAAAAAGAAATGACACCTAGGTGTCAGCAAAAGGGATGCAGAGCTGGTAAGAAATGGGATCTTCTTCTGTTTATGTTAACTCCGTTGATATTTTCTGAAATAATACACCTTTAATAATCTTGGTTGATCTATACAAAGAGAGAAATGGGGTTGGATTTAAGCATCAGTTGGCTAAAGAAACTTAGAAGCCCTTAGGTGAGATCACTGCATGAGTGATCCTTTAAGTGAGATCGACACACTGCTTGCATTATACTTCCTGTCATTTGAATTCTATTGCCCAGGAGTATTAGGTCAGACCAGCTGCCCATCCAGTCCTTATCTCTAAGAGTGACCAACAACAAAAATGTGGAAAAGAATGGAAGAATAGGATGATGCCACAGACACCTGGACACTGATCAATAGTTAAATCCTAGATCTTTCTCATCTTCTGTCTTCTCAGATACGAATGAGTATGAAAACCAACACTTAAAACCAAAGAGAAAAATTACTTACATATTACTCGTGTTTTTAACCACCAGACCTTCAGGTTTTCCATTTAACAACAAAGTATTTGGTCACTAGTGGCAAAAAAAGACTTTTTAAATTAAATTCCACTAAACAGATTTAAATTAAATACTCAACAGATTAATTGAAAAGGGATGATTTTCACCTGACTGAAATCTACCAACTGGCAGGTAACTTAAAAAACAAGGACAGTTCACTGCAACACAGCAGGATTCTCTTCATTTACGTTTATAGGAGTGCTTTTGTTTTACAATCACCTTCACAATGTTCTAACAATATCCTACTAATATCCTATAAAAAAAGGAAAGCTTCAAAACTTTACAGCTTCTCTATAAAGCTTCACTCAAACTCCTTCTAATTGCCTATTTTGGAGGAAAAATTCATGGATTCAGATTAATGAGGATTAACAACAACGTCCCTTGCTACACAAAAAGCAAATCTAATTACTAACTTCATCTAATACAAAACTAATAACTAACTTCAATTCCCACTATTTGCTTTGTAGGCTCTGAGCAGTCGATCTATCTCGGATGTTTGTTCCATATCCTCTCACTCATTCTGTCACATTTTGTCTCTTGAAAACTGCAAGGCTAAGGGGAAAAAGAGGCAATATGAGAAAACTATATATAAATGTTTAATCATTACTGATGAATCTGCTGTTCAGTTTTTGGAACAGACTGATGAGAGAATGATGATCATTTTATTCTAACAAATTTCAAGCCAACCAATCATCTGAATTGCTCATTCCCCTCTTTTGACAGATGAGTGATGAGTTCTACGTCAGAAGTGAAATCTCTCTCTTAAGCTTCTTCAAATCAACAGGAAGACTGCAAATTCAACGTTCACTGTTTTCAAATGCCTTGCTCTCTTCAGTGTTATCTCTTTAGTTATTACTCTTATTAAACAGTTCTACACAATTTCTTATCATAAGACCAGTTTTTTATCTCTTCCATTAAGGTTGCTACTGAACACTTCAGCACACTATATGCCCCAGCACATCCATAGTTTCACCATTACTTCAAGGCAAAATACATCATAAAACATTGCAGAATTATACAAGGCTTCTTATTATAGTCCCTATTTTCTCAGTAAATTAAGAGTTTAAAAAAAAATCCCACATGGATTACTGTGGTTCAGAAGCTTTACAGGAAATCAGACACAGGCTGTTGTGTTCACTCAGAGTAAGCCACACATGGACTGGCTCTTACTATCCTTGGAATATTCTTTCCAGAAATTTTCCACCTCACAGAATACCTGTCTTCTCAGTGAAATAAAACAGACATGCCACACCTGTCACAGAAAAAGCAGAATAAGCCACCCTTTAGGTGATTCTGTCCTGCAGCCTCCACAAGGAGCTTTTTGAGAAACAGGCACTGTGAATGCTTTTATCCTTCTAAAACGAGTGTCATTTGCCAGGCCAAATTCATGCGTTCCTTAGGGCACTTCAGCTGTTTAAAATTCCAACAATACCAGCAAGCTTCACACATCCTACCTGGAACAGTAAAGCACTTCCTCCTTCCAAAATGGCCTTTTTCCATTTTCTACTGGTTGTGGGGACGATCAGTTCATCTTTAAAGTATCTAGTCAGCCATGCATGGAGAGCAATAGTCCTGCCTAACCACAGCAGCTTAAGCCATGAAGCAGGAGGTCTTCTGCCTCCCTGTTTAGTATGTATAACTACAAATGCTAACACAAGTCATAAAATTAATCAACCTTTTTTATGACTTGTTGTATTGCACTGCTATTCCACAATAACTTTCCAAAAGCAATAAACAAGTGATACAGTACACAAGTGATAGTACATTGGTTTTCCTTAAAATTAGCTTTTACTGTTGTCATCGCTGTTTGTAGCACAGGATACAGTGGCTAACTTAATCTGCTTCCTCCCCTCCAAGACCACAGCTTCAAATCATTTCATTTAAACAGGCATTATAAAAAAATACACCTTTTTTTCTGGATTTTTTTTATGGTGAAAGATGGACAGGTACTAAACAAAAATGAAGACAGAATTACTGAACATGCATCTCATCTAGAATGTTCTCTGGAAGCTGTTCCTTCATTGAAACACTGTGCAGTATCTTTGCTGGAAGACTGTATCCTCATTTTTTTCCCCCACACAATAGCAATAAGTTTGTTCAAGCACTAATCTGTGTGACTTTGCTAATGGTATTATATCTAAATATATACTCTGAATGCATTCCTTCATTTCATCTGTCTCTACTCAAGGTCTTTTGTTCTTATCATCAGGACCATATTTCTGGTGAAACCTGGAGAAAAAGGTGCCTGAAGGTTCAGATAACAATACATTGTTTATTCTATACCAGATACAAATTAAGGAATGCAGAGAGACATACCACTGTTTAGAATTACAGTATTATTGTACCAGAGACAGGAAAAAACCTATACAATAATACTGTTCTTGGTGCTTTAATGTTAAAATCACATTCTTAATAGTACAGTAAGTCCTAACAAACAATTAACAAAACTACCTAGTGATGGTAGCTACACAGAGGAGGTTTTACATCAGTATGAAGAATTAGTGCTTAATATCTTATTCTAAGAGAATTATTTGTTTTTTAAACCAAAGCTTCCATCTGTCAGATTCTAGGAGCATAATTTTTAGGCTGTTCATAGTCCCTCCTAGAAAGGAGCTCAGCAAAACATACTCATGACCAGCTAAACCTCTTAGTTGTATACAGTTACAGAAAATGGATGTGGAGCCCTTGAGGAACATTCCATAGTTAGAGGGAAAGTGTACTTAGAAAGCATTACCTGTAGGTGGCAGCTGGAGGGGTGTACACCTATCTTTTTGGACACTGTCCTCAGGTAAGGAAACAAGTTTTCTGGCAAGCACAGCAGAAATTGGTTGTACTAACAGTGTTGTGAGATTCAGTCGATTTTGCCTGTAGCTTCCATCTTAAAAAATGGAAAGAGAAGGGCAATTTTGTAAATTAAAATTAGATTTCAATCCATCATAAACCAAATAAAACCCACAAATCTCTATAACACAGCTTAAAACAACTGACATAGATAAGCAGCTGTTATTTGGTACTTACCTTATTGAAAAAAAAAAAGTCTCTTCAAGACCATGTACCACAAAATTGCATGTGCATATTACAGTATTTGGGCAATAGTTCCACAGGAAAGAAGCTGACAAAGAGTCCGTGCAGATATTGGACTGTATGTGACTTAAACACACTAAATTAAATTGGTGTGTACTCAAGGAAACATTGAAAAATACAATTATTGATCAAAAATAACTTCTAAATTCAAGTAAAAATTGAACACAGTCTTACAGGGAAGAGCAGACATTTAAACTGCCCAGAATCATGTGCAAGTATCCATCTGCATTGAACAGTTACTACTGATTAGGCTTTATTTTGCCTAGACAAGTTGTGCTATTTAGTTCACCCTTTAAACAGTTTTAGTGCTATGACACAAACAAGCCTTTGTGAGAAATCTGACAAGAAAAACACCAAAAATGAGGCATGTTGATAATATACTGGCAATTTGATGAGATGTGCTTCCTTGCATGTACCAGAAACCTTGAAAATTCTGATATACACCAACCTCTTTGAAAGGCTACAAACTGGTCACCTCATTGACTCAAAGTGGGTTCAATGCAGCTAAGGTGACTCTCATGTATTTTATAAATGCAGGGGTGTTTCTGTGAAGGGAATTTGAAGGATCACATGAAGGAGACCTGAAATAAGAGGGTACTACTAAACAGACACACACATCAAGTGAAGTAAGGTATGGATCAGAAAGCCACTGACTACCTCATTTACAGCTTAAAGAACTTAAGAAGTCATAGCACAAACCTCTAAATAACAACAGATTCATGCAAATATTAAAATCTCCCTTCAACTGAAAAAAATGTGAGTTTCCACACACATCTATGTTTCTGATGAGACAATGAGATATTCTAGGAGACCAATTGAAAGAACTGGCAAAAGAAAACAGGCTAATTCTGCACATGGAAATGCTCTGAAGCACTTCAGGACAAAACATCTGTTTTTCTCAGCTATTTCTTCTGGCCAATAGAGGTATCATCTCTTCCCATGGAAAGCAAGAACACTCTTGCAGACGAAAAGCCCACCATGGAAAGGGAGAGGACATTGATAGCCCAGGGCAGGACACAGTTCCAGAACAACCTGCAACACTCTCCAAAGCCTTCCAATATACCTGCCCCCACCGAATCATTTCCAGCATTCAGCTAGAGATTCAGAATACAAGGCCTCCCTCTGAGACCTCCCGGAAACAAACACCATATTTTCTGTCGACATGGAGTTCTTTACTACTCAAAAGCATCCTTTACATCCTGTGTGACTGCAATCACAAAGGGAGGGAGCTATCAGAAATCAGCAGCACATGTTCTAATACATTTCTGTAAAAATACTATTAGGATTGTTATTGCTGAAGTACAACAAAAAAAAAAAATCCAGTCACAACCTCCAGTTTTCATTCTTTTTATGCTAGAAACTCCTGAGACTTTTTATAATATGCCCTTAAACATAATGTAAAAATTGAACAAAGCTATATTATTTAAATATGGAAAAACAAAAACCATGGTTCAGCTTTAATACAAAGTGACAAGTGTTCACTTTGAAAGAATCAGGCAAATTTTTAAGTGGAAAGGTGAAACTGGCTCAAAACACTATAAACATCGTAAAATCAGTTTGCTCAGGCTTTGAGAGTCAGTTTCTGGAATCAAAAAACCCCCTAAAATGTCCTACAGAGATGGGCAATTGAGACATTATTTTCTGTGTAGTGTTTGTCAATCTGCAGACTGTATTAGAAGAGCAATGAGGCTCAAAATGTTTCAGATGAGAAGTATCTCTCCCTTCTCCAGTTACTCAGAATTTGAGCTTCACACCTGAATGAGCTTTGAAAGATACACTTTTGAGAACAACTTACAGGAGAAAACCCCACCATGTTTAAAAACTAATCATTTAACAATAGAAGATGGAATTTGATGTATGTGACAAATAGAAAAGAAATATATAAAAAGGCAGATTTAAGTTATCTGGGCAGATTTATCTGGAAGAAAAACTCTCTAATAGAAGGAATTTATAAAGACCTGCCTAGGCAGGTGGTAAAATCTCTACAACTGAAATCTTTCTAAAGAAAAGAGTAATCAAACATCTGTCAGGAATGACAGAGCTATGGCTGATGCCCTCCCTGAGGGAAGGTGCTGCATTAGATGACCTCTTGACATCTTTTCCAGGCCTGATTTCCATAGAATTCTCCAGTAACTGAACTTCCTGAACCATTAAAAAAAAAAAAAAGGCATTATTGGAACTAATATTAAAAAATGCTTTTTAAAAAAAGGAAAAGTGAGAGTCACTTTCCCTCTTCCAGGCATGTAATAGCTGCCAGGAAAGTAGCCTGCTAAGAGGACTGAGGAAAGCTCTCTGCACCATGATCAGGTTTCAAAAGTGAAAGACTCAAGACCAGTCCTCTCCAGTGCACACTTAAAAATCTGGAGATTTCTAGGGCTGCTAGTTAAAGCTCAAACATTCAGTTTTTAAATACTGACTGTGAAAAAGTGCAGTGCAACTTCATAAAGGAACCAACATATCGAAAGAAGTTTGAGAGTCTTGCTGGCACTTTCTCTGCTGGATGCCAAACTCTGTGGAGCACAGAGTGCTTTCAGGATCTGTGGAAACAACAAATGCTTTGAGGATAATTTAAATTTGACATTTTGCTTGTAATGAAATTTAGTTTTATAGCATGAAACTCTTCCAAGAAACAGAATTCCTTCTCTGCAAGTCTAACAATCTAACAGTGCCAGGCCTAGAACCACTATTAATTTTAGAAAGTCTCTAGAGAACATACTGTAAAGCGAGAAGAAAAATATGGTAATCAATTATTAAGTTAATTTTAGGAGCACAAACAGAGGCAATCTTTAGAAAGTTTCTTCGCAGAAAGCAAGGCCTGCATTTCTACTTTTGCAGTGACTGTGTTTTATGTTTTCTTTTGCAAAGTAAGCACAAAGAGCACCAGCTTCCATACTGCTCCGTTTGGGACACACATTTGGAAGCCAGGATTTCATAGTGATCCATCACTTAACTTACTGGTATTTGTAACATGTTCTGAGAATTCTGAAAAGCTTTTATGGGGAGAATTTAATAGTAACACTTGTGCACCATATGTCACTCAATTCTAGGCTAAAGTACAATTTTATCATCGTTTCAGTGACTTTTGTGAAGACTGAAAGATCAGAGCACATGAAATGAGAGTTAGTCACAACACCTTACCTCTCTAGTTAAAAGAACGTTGCGTCACCCACAGCTTCTTAGTATTAGCAAATAGGCTTTTATTTATATTTCTCTAAGAAGTTTTTTGCTACATGAATCAATTTTCTGTTAACTTTTGTTTAAATTCCAGATTCAGAAGAAGACTGGACAGAATATTGTATTTCATCATATCTGTTTATTAAAGTCACCCTCTGCCAGGATCTGATAAAACAAAAGTTAACAACTAAAACTGTCTAAAAAGTTTACTGATAGAATTCATCAAAATAATTCCTTCTAAGACCTGAAACACTGCTTTAAGGATGTTCCCCCCAAAAAAAGAGGAAAAAAAAGTATTCTGACTGAACACTGAACCATTATTGTACATACCCACATCTTTGACTTTCTGCTGCATTAATAATAGAGCATATTAGTTTTGAAATATCTGAAATGAATGGCTCATTAATTTTTCACCTTAAGCTTAATAGAAATTTGACAAACAGTTTTATGCTGAGAATAGACACTCCAAGCAGGACTTCACAGCACATGATGGGAATAAATTAGAGCATAAAAGACAGAATAATGTGAATTTGGTCAAATAAGATGGTTCTGTCATTCAATTGCCTGAAGTGAAGTTAGTTCAATGCATTTCCGTGAAAGTGGTATTTTTACATTTAAGGATTCCCAGCATAAATTCCTTTGTCAGCGCTTGATCTTGTATTTAACATGACAAAAAAAAGATGTATAAATTGACATGTCATAGGCATCTATATTCTTTGTGCTTTGAACTCGTACACAGCTTCCCCCCAACTTTGCTGATAACACTCAACAGCTGTTATCTTCCACTGACTCTCATGTAGTTAGGCACAATGATTTATTCTTCACTGCAAAATCAGTTTATCTGTGGTTTTTCTGATTTACCTCTATCCAGACAAAGGGACTGTGCAGTGCCTACAACAGGGAGATTCCACCAGCTGGTTGGTGGCTCCAGGTACTAAAACTCACATCACTACTGGTAATCATAATAATTTTGCCGTGCAGCAGCTACTTGATTAAATCTTCAGCTACAGTTGCTAACAATACTGTCGATGAGCAGCATTTTTAAGATAGACATAACTCTTCTAACTCAAAAAGACTTCAATTAAGCCTTCACATCCCATTTAATCTCTGATATGAAATGTATCCATCAGCTACACGTCACAAAGTCACTGACTTTTTTTTCCTTCCTAAATTTTCTCTTTGAACAAAGGAAGAAAAATAAACTGATTCTGGCTGTTACTTCTTGCTGTAAATGGATACAGTTAGAATATTGACCCAGAAAACCTGATGCTGTTCTGCAAGCACTTATGAACAGGAAATTCTGTGAAGGCTCAGCCCTGCCCCCACCTGCTCAGTGTTTGGACTTTAAAAGTCAGATATATAGTTTTCTGCATATGAAGTCAAAAAGAGACCTCTTCCACTAACAAAATTGGTGCTGAACACCCGATGGTGTTTAAAATGGCAGTAAGAATGGATTTTATTCATGGGAAGGAGAAGACCATAGCTTCAGACTTGGAGAGTATCTTGAGATGTAGAAGCTAAAAAATACCAGCAAGAGTAAGAAAAAAGTAACTGATACAGAAAAATGTTATTCAAGAGAAGAGCAGAACCTGGAGCAAATGCCTCTAGAGTAGAACTGGT